AGTCCCATGATCCTCCAAGTATGTGCAAGAGGAATGGCCGACCTTGAGCACTATGCTCCAAGGGACCAGATGCTAATATGTGCTATCTGTGATATACTGTAGTAATATCCCATAATATACTATGATATACTGTAGTAACATCCCAATTCCGGAAAGTCAGAAAGTCTCATTCTGAGAAGCCGCCACCATCAGCGGCTGGAGGGCCAAGCTACCTTGCAGAGAAACTGTTGCCCAGCTGTGAACAGGCTTTCGAACTAGCGCAGCGCGTGTTTTCAAGCAAGCAAGCACGGTGCAGTCAGCTATCACTCGAAATCTCTGGGTGCCACAGCTTCTTCACGACTTCACACTTCGTCCTTCGCCGAGGTCGGTGCCTTAGACTCAGCGTACTTCGTGCACCTGGCCTTCACAGCAGCTAGCTGTCGCCACCGTCGAGGGCACAAGTACTCCAACATCTGGCATCCGAGCGGACGAAAGCTCGCTTTTCGCAAGGATGCATGACGTCACGGAGCTCCGTCATCATCGCTTTGATCTCCACACTTGCGTGCCATGATGTTGAGGAACGTCTTTCATCGGCCGTTGCACCAGCAAGAGAGCATGCGACTCCCGGCAATCGATTTTAAAGGCCGTGCGCAAGGTCCTCCACCTGCGATGCCTGTGCCTGCGCCAGGGGTGGCGGAGGTTGCTGCCAGCATTGGCTTGGCGCCGAATGGAGCACAGGTAACAACTGAGGCAAGCAGCGCACGACGGCGCTTCGCAGCTCCGTCCTCGTCTGAGGACCGGCCTTGGCGCGCTTTGCCTCGTGTTGCTCGCGGTTCCGGCCTTCACCCTCCTCCGCCGCTTCCGCCTCTGTCTGCGTCGCCTCGACTCCCTCGACCGTCTCCATCGCCGTCGCCTCGAGCTGCCTGCATGCCTCGAGCGCCTGGAAGAGGCCACGGGCCAGCTCCAACTGCAGCGGGTGCAGCTGCTGCTGCAACCGCTCTTGGATCTTCCGCGCCGCATCGTCCGCATCGCCCTCGCTCGCTTGTAGTCGCCGCCCGCACCTCACCAAGCGCAGAGCCAGTTCGGCATGCTGCTGCTCTGCGCGATCGCAGAGAACCTTCCCACTTGGCCTTCGCCTACATGAGCTCTGCAACACACACCCAGCGACCACAACTGGCCAGCACAGAGCACACCACGTTGGCTGCAGCGGGGTCGTCTGTCGATCACCTTCTCGACATCTTGCTGTCAGAAACCACTTCTTAGCCAATGAAGACGGATGGTGAGGGAAATCCAGAAGAACTGCTACGTCGGTCCACTGAGCTTGTCTTGCAGAGTCTCGCAAAGCTCTGGCTCCGAAGTCGTGGTCTCCTTTGGGCGGGTAGAACTGCATTGCCAGTTTGGCAGTGTCTGCCGTCACCGCGCGAAGAGACGTGAACAGCTTGGTGAGCTTCGTTTGTGGGACCGAAGGCGTGTCTGCTGAGTGCGACTCTGCCTCTGACCGGGGCTGGAGCAACCACTGTACTGCGCTGATTGAGAGCACGGCATCAGCAACACCCTCACGAAGCGGGAGTGGCTGTGACATGTCTGCCAGTATTCGATCACCACGTCTAGAAATCCACTGCAAGCCCTCGCTGATGTCGACATGTCCGGCTTCTAAGCCTCCGTCTGCCGACATGCTCGGCACTCGGATTCCGACCAGTGCAGACTCCTGAATCTGCGTTGTCGTCGCAAGCATGTGCAAGCTGGTGTCAAAGCTGAGAATGTAAGGAGGCGTGCCGGGCTTTCTGCTTGCAGCCAAAGCCTGAAAACTGAGAGTGCTGAGGCCACCTCCAGCGCCCAGATCAAGAACGATGGACCCAGGACTGGCTGGCAGCAGATCTCCCAAACTTGCGGCCGCATGCGTCAACTCAGCCTGTACTCGTGCAGCCTTGGGAACGCGGTGGTAGCGAAGTGCCTCGTCCTGCGCGTAGTACTCCTGACGAGGGCATCTGAGGGTGAGCATGCTTCACCTGTGCCTGGGTGTCGGAGAGGTCTAGTCGTCTAGTCGAGTTTGATGCAGGTCGCGCGAGCTTTCAACAGTTCACCCTAGCATCGGTCCAGAATCCAAAACCATATAGATCCAAAGGGCCAAAGGTTACACGTGTGGTAGCTCCAAAGGGCCAAAGGTTACATGTGTGGTGTGGTGTTCCATGATGTTCCTGCGGTCATGGGTGACTCCTACCTTGACCTACCAAAACCTACTTTTTTTAAGGGCCCCTATAAATTCCATATTAGGGTTTACAATAGGAACCTACAAAAAAGTAGGTTTTGGTAGGTTAAGGTACCTTGAATTGGGTCCATGGCCTGGGCTACGACTGCCCACTGCGGCCCAAGACTCCCCAGCAGATCCGGCAGGCGCTGCGACCTGGGGATTTCCGAAAATAGGGGACCCTCAAAAAGTAACTACCCTAAATAATAGGATCTTGATTATAAGGACCCCAAAAACCCTAAATCATAGGATCTTTATTATAAGGACCCCAAAATAAGGTACCCTATTTTCGGAAACTCCTACCTCTGGGTGCAGATGATGTCTGCGGGCATCACCGCCCGCGCGTCGGCCGCGCCGCTTGGCGGAAGGCGACAGCTGGAGCATCGTGCTTGTTCGAGCCAAGAAGGGTTTAGGGTTTGGGGTTTAGGTGCATTCGAACACAGAACTGTTGCAGATAGGTTTCCTGATCTATGTGTATTTAAACTTACACCAGAATCCGGTTGGGAATAGGTTCTCGCAAGTCATGGGCCATGTGCAAGAAGGTGTGAGAATACATTTCATTCCCAGGGAGCTGCTTCCCCAGATATCCATGAAATCTCATGCACCCAGCAAAAACTCAGTAAGTAGGTGGCAGCGGCAGTCGATTGCAACATTTCATATTTCTGAAAGCCGTACTTAGTACTGATATACTAGTGACTTGAGCCAGCCGCAGAGCCACCTCTTAGTTTGCAAGCAAGTGCTGAATTGGGACAAGCTGCATTGCTTCCTTGGCTTTTTGTCTGGCGCGGCTTCGCCAGAAGATCGTTGAGAGAGACGGCACCGCGGCGAAGCTGCTTGCATTGTGCTGTGAGGGTAGCAACATCAACTAAGCCGACTTTCTTTCCGCTCTTCCAACCAACATCTACTTCGCAAATGGGAATGCTTTCCGCAATTGGGTTCCAGCTCTCCCATCCAAATTTCCGTCTGTTTTCCACCTTGATGGCAACATTCTTGCGAGGGTCGCGCGAGACACGTTCCCGCTGTCGGGCTCGACGCTCCAATTCGATTCGTCGCTCTTCGAGTTTGACTCGCTCCGCTTCCCTGTCCTTCTTGCTGCTTTCGGACAAATGCTCCAGGCGGGAGTGCTTCGCCAGGTATTCCAGCTTGCTAGTCATGGTCGCAACGTCCTGGAGCCGGTAGTTGTCTGTTTAAACCTCGTAACAGTTGTAACGCTACTCACTACTCGTACCGTATCCATTGGTTCATGGCTCTCGGGTCAGTCCTGGTGGAACTTGTCTCGCAGACTGATCACCTCTGCCAGATCACTCGGCCTCTCAAACTCTGTCAAATGGGCATCATCGCGTTCTGAAGGCGACCCATGCGCTCCATTCCTTAAGGCACGCTCCAACTCGGCTGCACAGCTTTCGGCCCGGCTGTTCTCCTGCAGGACACCAGCCGTCGGAGAGTTCCGGCTCTTGGGGCGCCCAAGAAGAGGAGGACTCAGGAGCCCAGAGGGGCCCCTCTTCGGTGTAGGTAGGACCAGGGGCTCCTGAAGCCGCCTGAAATCAAAAGATCCCGTTGTGGCCCCGAGAGCCAGCGGCTGTGATCGTGTCCTATGAAGACAGTTTGAGGCAGAATCTGAGAGAAGCGGTGAGCATGGTCTCAAGACAGCTGATGTCAGTGGCCGTCGCACTTGCCCCGGCCGGTAGATTCCGCTCATTAAACGGCACTAAAACCTTCACTCGAGCGGCCGCAGCTGCAGCCATGGATCATGCAACACTGACGAACAAGGGAGCCGCAAGAGACTCAAGGATCCGTCATCAACCACCCGCAGGGCAGAACCCATCAACTCATGTCAAAGCCACGGTCTTCCAAGCGAACCTCCTTGTCGCTGCATGTCGCTGACAGAATCCGAAACCTCAGCGCCAGCTTGGAATCCACAAGCCCCGCCATTGCACGTGCACACGGACTTTTGCCCGAAATGAGGATGGAAGCAGCCCATGCTGCCGGAGTTTTCTAGGGTCTTCATGCACGTTGCGTCCACCGCAGCACTTCGTGTGGGTCGACGGCTGCCGCCAAACAGAGCCATCTGTACTGCCGATGTCATATCACGAAGCTGGCATTGACATGTTAATCTGTCTCCGTATCATATCGCCAACACCGGCAGAAGCAGAGATGTTTGACAAACATTCGCGAGTGCTGTGGCTGTACAGGACGTTTCGGCAGCCAGGTTGCATTCTTATGCACCTGCACCGACAACCAAAAGCACAATAATGTGAGCTCTGACTGAGCTTGGGGAAATCCGGCACAGAAAATCACCACCCTCATATGCACTGATAGCAGAGGCCAGTTTCTGACAGATTGAGCTGCATCATCAGCACTTTGGCTGCTTTGGCCCGCCGCTCTGTACTTGACATGGAATTCATTCTACTATCTGCTGGCAGGTCTCAGTGGGATGCAACAACGAATTGAGTTGATCCGCGCCCACTGGAAGATCGAGAACCTTGCTCGGCTAATGGCTGGCAGTCGTTGGGCCAATCAGACTTGAGACGGCTCATCTTCGGTGTTGGAAAACGATGTGCTTGAGGTCCGGGAAGCACTGTCTGAGCCTGATGTTTCACAAAGTCTCACACGTCCCTTCCCGTCTGAGTCTGGCATTCCAAGTTCCAGGTTCAGACTCAATCATCGCTGTAAAGGGAACCCCTTGGGTGTTTTGCCGGTGCACCTGTGTCTGCACCTCTGCCGTCCGAGCCGTTGACAGACCTCGGTGAGCTCGTGACTTCAAAACTCCAAGCACAAGAACGTCAACCCATGCAAGCACAGCCGCAAGACTTTCAGCCAGCACAGGATACCCCCCCCTTGGGACAAAGCGGCGGCGAAGCAACGTACGGCAACCCTGCATGAACTGGGCTTGTAGTGCTTTCGAACGACTGATAGAACAGATTACCACCGCGAAAAAGAATCTAAAGTAGAATTTCTGAGAAACGCTGCTGCGAGACGGCCCAATGTGCACTTGCCCAGTGGCGACAAGTCGAAAGCATCGTGGGCGTCCGTGTGGACATAGCCATCAAGCTCGTGATGAGCTCGTGGGGTGCCTACAGCGAAGGGACGTGGTCAAGGAGCACGCCGTATTCAAATACATGTAACATCATGTAACCATTCTTTAGCTTTAGCGCGCCTGGGTAGCAATAATCGTCAAGAGCTCGCGTCGCTTCAGTGTGGTGCCACCTGAGGTGACGCTACCACACAATTTTATTTTGAGAAGCCATACAGCAAACGAAAGGTGTCAAGCCAATTCTCACATGGGGTCTTTGGCTGAAAAGTCCTTCCTGCTTCTCCTCTTTGTCTTCTTCCTTTCGTACTCCTACTGTTAGGATTGCAAAGTGCCTGCAAGGCCAGGAGCATGCATGGGCAGATTCTGCAATGCAAAGGGCCTAGTTTCATCCGCTCATAGGTTTCCCCGCTCTAGAAGACACCCAGCCAGGCTGTTCAAGGACATCAGTTCTGGGGGATGTGATCTCTGGCTTCTCCTCGCAAGACAAGCAAAACCTCGCACTCACACTTCGACTGGACTGAATGTCCTGTGGTGCTCTAAGCCCCCTATGTCATCTGTAGTGAGTCTGGCTCGCCGCGACATCTGGGACAGCTGACTTGATTTCACAGTGGCAGGCTTCTTGTCTTAGTTATAGTTGTCTTAAACCTTCAACCCTGGCCTCATGGAACGTTCCATTGCGTCATGGGCTCGCTGGGCTGCCAACTGCTCGTGGAAGCTCCCATCTCTTCCTGTGAGCCGGTGACGACGTCACATGTGCTGAATTCTAAATCCATTTGGGAGTTTCCGGAAATAGCCCTAATATAGTACCCTAAATAGTAGGATCTCTATTATAAGGATCCCCAAAAATAAGGTACCCCCAATTTTCGGAAACCCCATATTCGGCCACTAAGACTATCATTGTAGCTCCGCCAGCTGCGCTTGCTCTGTAGACTCAGCAAAGGCGCTGATGGAATTCACGGGTGGCTCCACCGATGGCTCGCCCGAAGGATCGCCTCAAGGTTGTCGGCACCATCTGCAGCTTACAAGTTTTCCAGGCTATCTCCATTTCTCCGCATGCTTCGGAAAGAGGCTTTCGGTGGGGGCGATGTTTACACTTAGGTCAGGACTGCATGGGGTAGGCCTGACATGCCTGCGGTGCCGTTAGCTTTCGCATTCACGTCCGAAGAAGAACAACAGCCGAGGCTGTTCCCCAACGATTGCGATCCCCCTGCTCGAACACGCTTCAGCTACCCAGATCAGTCAGCAAGTGCAACGGCCCTAAACCCCTCAACCCTAAATATCCCTAAATGCAAACACTGCGATCCGCCTGGCCTGCCATGCAAGGGTTGTTTCCTGGATGATGCACTTCCTTGATCAGATCGACAGTGCCACTGCCCGGCTGCCATCCTTGGCTTCAAAGGCACCGCAGGAACCAGGCACAAACTCTCACGTCTCATGACTGTGTGGCAGTTATGCGCCAAGACTCTGAAGATTTTGACTTCCTTGAAGCACAACAGCCGCAAGTTGCAAACACTCATAAACTCAACAGTGATCGCACTTGCATGCAGCTTCTGACGAGCATCTGCGTCGTGCAGCGCTCTCAAAATCTCGGAAAGGATCTCGGCAGTTCCTTGCTGGGCATCGGCACATAACATCCTGATATGCATGTTCCATGCGTCTGCAGCCACGTCGCGGCCGTCCAGCTTATGTTGGTCTGTTGGATCAAGCTGATCTGCAAGTGCCTGGAGTCGAGGCTACTGTTGAAGGCTTGCTGATACAACCAGATCCACCGAGCAGTCGACGGACCGTTGCAAGACCATATCGCAACCAAAGCGCCAACTGCAAACGCATGTCTTTGAGGTAAAGCTCGTTGACGATGTGCTGTGTTCCCACATGGTGGAATGGATGAAACGAACGGAAGTCCACGATCTTGCAGTCCACCTGCAGCAAAAATGACAAAAGCTGGCACGGCGCACCCTGTGCGCCCAAACCAAAGACCTGGCCTCACCCAGCACTGACAGCAAAGCACCTGCAGAGGCAAACGACGTCTGCAACACCTGCACATGCCGCCCCGGCGTCTCGTGTCATTGCCTTGCTGGCCCCACTGGGCACAGGATCGCGTCTGCAAGCAATAGTAAACCTTGACACAAGGGCACTTTTCTGGCTTGGCTGACCTGGGTTCGCAGAGTTAGGACCAGTTAGGAGCCAAGTAGCATTATGAACTATCCCCGCTTCGCACGCATCAGTCTCATGCCTCGGAAACGCGGTGCTGAGCAGGAACCCTCGAGCATGTGTGTAGTAGCTAGTAAGCATCAGCTAGTCGACAAGGCAACACGGCAGCAGTTTGTGCTGGCTGCGGCACGCATGCTGAAATGCAATGAGAAGCAAAGACTTGCGGTCAGGACGCTTTGCAAGCTCAATGCATGCGTTCGCTTCCCTGGCACTCCGTGTCAGAACACAGCGCAGCGCCGTTGGACAAATGATGATAGATATCAGCACCTCGGAAGCATCAGTCTGTCCTTTTCTGCTGAAATCTTCTATCAGAATCAGCACAGGTCATCCAAGCAGCCGCCAGGACCAAGGAGCTGTAGTTCCTGCCTCGGCTACTGACCGAATGAGCTCGAGACTCGAGACCGCTTCGATAGGGAGGGGTGGGGGGGGTTGTTGTTCGTGGATTTGGGGAACAACAACCCCCCCCACCCCGTGGGC